CCATCTCAGCACCAGCATCTTGGGAGAGACTACCAGCTTCACCATACTGTATATTCTGTCAAATACTCCAGCGTGATTGAAAGCCACGGAGCCAGCCATTGCTGAAAGAAGGCATCTCCCTTCCTGGATAGATAGTTTGCCAATATTGCCTTGCTTTCTCCCGTATAACCTCCTGAGATATTGATATATGCTCCTCTGCACGTTGAGTCCACTCAAAGATAGCCTTCTCTAATTCTGGCCAGTTCTCGGTACGTCGTCGCTTCTCTTGGTGGCGGTTGGTGGCTTCATCAAAGGAGGCGGAATCGGATGAAATGATTCGGGATACAGAGGATGGGTTGATTGACTGATTATAGGTGGTTTCAAACCAGATTTTCAGTGCGATATTTGATAGATGTGGCTTGAGTTGATGCTGGGCTCGGAGGGCAGCCTTTTGGCTGTTTAAAATAGGTTGACGGGTTTGCTTTGGCATTGCAGAAGGGAGGGACGAAGTCAAAATAGCCTATTTTGGTTACTCCTATATTAGCAATTTTGTATTGGAGGAGGGGAGAATTTAAGCAACTTGCTAGTAATGGAGTATTAAGCAATTTTATATGGAGTTGTAATTTGGACAGCGTGGCCAGTTGCTTATAATGGAGTATTGCTTATATCGGAGTTGCTTATAACGGGGTTTTACAGTAATCGGCTTTTTACTCCTTCCTTTTTTGGATTGAATGTAGTGACTCATACTAGGGCCACACAAACAGTCATTTCGAGTCATCCTATTATTATTTTATGCAGTACATATATCATGACAAACATCGCTATGCATAAACACATCAACATCAACATCAACATAAACATTAAAAGAACACCACAATCTCTCCTCGCTCGTTCCGCTTCAATCGCAACGCCCGCCACAGCTCCTTCTCTTCCTCCTGACGCTGCTCGCGATCAGCTCGTTGGCCCTCCTCGTCGTTGTGGAAGCGCTTCAGGATCTTGTTAATAGAGAAGCCGCGCGAGCTCTCAGGACCCTTGGTCACCAGCGACAGGAAGTGAGCCGCCATGTCACGTTGCTGGTCAGTAGGGATATTGGCTTGCGGGTAGAGCATCATTTCTCCGGCGTCTGGGCCACTAACCTGCCGGGAGGGACGGTCGCCTTCCACTGTTTGGGCGCTGGTCTTACGCTTGCTCTTGGGTTCGGGCGCAACCACCTGGCTGTCGGAGGCATTGCGCACCTTGGGTGTCTTCTTGGACTTGCGCACATCGATGTCTGGGATTTGTCCATCATCAGATGAGCTGCGGCGACGGTGGCGGGGGAGTGTCTTGGGCTGAGAATCAGCACTGCTGCTGGAGACCACGGAGCCGCCGAACATGGATGAGACGAAACGTTCCGCGCGGGTCTTCTTGGGCTCCTTGGGCTCCTTCTCTTTCTTAGACCGCTTGATCGGGGACGTGGGTTCTTCGTAGCGCCGACGGGCCTGCTCTTCACCCTCCACCGACGTAGATCTCAACATCCGGTCCAGTCCACCAGTCAGCCCTGAGTGTTTGATCATGGGCGTACCGGGGTTGTTCCGGACACTAGATGGGGCTTCCATCATGGGAGTGTCGACGAGAGGCGCCGCATCGTCCATGTCGATATCATCAGTGCGCCGCTTGCGCTTCTTCTCGCTGTTGACCGTGCCGTTTTCCTTGCGGCTGCGGTCCTTCTTTTTCTTGGGGACTGGTGTCACGAACTCCAACGAGGGGTTGGCGTTCGGGTATTGTGATTGTGGAAGCGGGTCTGCGCCGTAGGAGTATCCATTCTGTTCGTAACTCTTATCATTGCCAGGAGTGTCCAATTGGGGAGTAGTCTTGCCCGTCTCGAAAATCGGAGGGGCATGATCCACCATCCGCATCTGTCCCTTGGGCTCAGCCAAAGAGACCTTGGACGCGTTATTCGGGGTCTTAGGTTGAAGGAAGTCGAATACGTTGACCGGTTTGCCGCCATCAGCCTTGTCGGTGCTGCCCTCGTTCGCAGCGGTAGGCTTCTGCTGGTGGGCTGGTGGTGCGCGCCCGTTGGCACTAGGGGAATCGACGTCGGTCACGTCCTCGATATACGGCGCACGGTGTTGCATGCCGTTCGGCTTCTGGTTCTGCTTCGGTTCATTCTTGCCCTTTCGCCCGTTCTTCGTAGGTTTCTCTTTATAGAGCGCGCCCTCGTACTTTTGCGCCTCGGTCATACACGACTATAGAAGTTCAAGTCAGCCTCTGTCGGAGAACAAATCATTATCCATTGCGCAAGCTCATCTCTGTCGATACGGTTCAGCCAAGCGGAATCGATCCAGTTGACCAGGTTTTTGTCAGTCGCATCGGACGAAGCCATGGTCTAGACAATCGACATGCGACGAGAGCATCACCAAGCGCGTAACCAACAACAGAAGACGAGGCGACACAAACAGATGAATCGCATAAGCACTAAGCAAGGAAGGGGTCTTGCCATACCGTATGCGATCTGTACTCGGCACCCTGGAAATGCACCATGCAATCAATGCAGGTAAACGACGCACCCCGGCATTGATTCCGATGAGGATCAAGCTTCTTCTTGGTGAGAATATCGCCGCAATTCTAGGCAGAAATCGAGGTCAACGTTATTCCTACTGGGTGACCGTCTCAACTCAAAGGCCCATAACCAACTCACCTCGCATGAAAACGAAACCATCTTGACCCCGCTATAGACTCCACGTATCTAGCGATCGTTGAGCTGTCAGGAAAATCCCCGAATCTAGTCTAGAATCGCGGATATTCGAGCTTTCAAGGTTCAGACCGGGTCCCGCGACGTAGAAAAAGTCCGATGAAGGTGATGGACAAGCCCCTTCGCCGTGACCAAAATAAACACAGATGCAGTGAGATCGGGCTGAGTAGGAGAGAATCTAATGGAATCGAGCTGCGCAATTCGCGAAACACAAGGCGCAAGAGATCCCTTCAAGATCAGACTGTCTGATATCTGAACTTTTTCTCTGTTTTTCTCGATTTGTTTCTTTCCTTCTCTTTTGCGCCGGCGCGAAAATCCAGAGCGACCGCGCTAGTCCTGATCGGGGTATCACGCTAGTCCGAATATAGTAACCAAATTAATGCCTTTAATGCTTGAATAACTAGGAAGAAACTATACTATTATATCAACGACAAGTCAACGGGCAACAGGAACTTCAAATACCCCTCTCTCCCCATCCTCTCACGGCAGATTCTCAGTCAGAACGGCCCCCGGGATAATCTCACTCTCATCCTCATGCAGGAGACCGCATAATCCCGTTGGTCAAACCCTCAGCCTGGTCTATTTTTGCAACCATTACGGAATACGCTCATGATCCTCCCCTAACCAGCGGCTCGTGATTGGGGCTTGTGCAGCGCAAGTGTCAGGAGACTGCTGTTTAGAGGTGGACGAACGAACCAGTTCGCAATGTTGGTGTCGCGCGCGTGGAGGGGCTGTGCGATCTGGTGGATGAGATGAAACGAGAGGATACTGTGCATATGCAACCAGCAGGTTTTGGTTGTTGTTGTTGTTGCTTCGCTTGTACTTCGCTTGCCGCGGGAGTCATGCATATCTTGGACTTCACTACTTGTACAAGTACTTGTTGACAATGCTGTTGGTGAATCGGAAGCATGGCCTAGAAGCGAGACGCTGAATGCTATATCCCCTTCTCTGCCATCTAAAAAAGTAAGCACGATTGATATTGTTTTTGCAGAACCCTGGAATGGGCATATGGCAGTCTACATCACTCAATATGACGTCCGCCGATTGACGATGATGTTTTGGAGATTGCAGAGTAGAAACAATTCTGTGTGACGTCCCATAGAGATACTCGTGCAGACTACACATACAAACATTGCGTTGCTTGGTGTGGCGAATGTGCCAAATGAAGTGGTTTCAAGATGCATCTTCGGTCATGCGGCCGATGACCGGCTGCAGCATATCGGGTCTCGCGAGGCCTCTTATTTGCTGAGTGTTTACTTCGTCTACGGTCATTCCTTTTCCTGGGCTCATATCAGGTTGGGTAGAGAGACTGAAAAGTTGAATATGCATGTATATAATTCCAATTAAATCACAATAAACGCATATGTACAAAATTGGCTCTAAACCCATCAATAAAAAGATCGGGTTTGAAAATCGGGTATCTACAAAGAAAAAGACAAACAGTGAAAGAACCGCTATACAATGAACTTAGTCAATCAACCCCGCGTAGTCCTGCATTGACTGTCAGTATACAACCGCGAACTCTCAGACCGCAGACGAAGCAAGGGACTCACTCCTCTTTCGATATTTCGACAGGCGGCATGCCACCCTTGTCATCATGGCCGGTCTGCTGATGCGCACTCTCGCCTTGGCCTTTCTCTGCTCCGGTCTCGCTGTGTTTCTCTCCACTCGCACCCGCTGCCTCCTCGTCGTCCTCGGCGCAACCGCAATCGTAGAAGTCGCCGATCTTATTACAGTCAAACAATGGCTTCTCGAGCATCGCATTGACCTCATTGTGAATAAAGCAACCCCATCCCGCGGCGGCATTCCGTGACGACACCTGTGGCGGATACTTTTGAAGGTGTTGCTGGAAGTGCGAGGCGCATTCGCCGCTGAACCCGAGTCAGCATTAGGCCTGGATCGCAAAGGGGAATGGGGGTATGTACCATGGGTAAAGTCGTGCGAACAAATATATAAACGAATGCAATGTCTCCCGCTGTTCTTGCGTAGGGTGTTCAGGATACCGCGCCAACATCGTATGGAAGTACTTCCACGTCGCCCGACCTAATTCTGCCCTAGTTTGCCATACCGTCAGTTATAGAACGAGGGAAGGAAGCAAAGCGTGTCTCACTTCACAGTCTCATTGCCCAATCGCGACATCACCACCTCCCCTTTCAGCAAGTCATCCTTGACCAAACCCGACGCCGGCGCGGACTTATCGATATGTCCAGGGGCTCGAATCGCGGGACTCGGAGGTCCTTGGGGTTGGATAAAGAGGACGAAGACGATAAATAGCGCGATCGCGGCGCTGATAAGGACTCGTCGTGTAATCTGCCGGCTCGCCATGGTATTCGGAATCAAAGGGAGGATCGGGGGTTGCCAAGGTCAATTGCGGAGGCCACCAGACGAACTGATCAAGAAGCGTCTGGGACCGTTATTAGAAGAAAAAGAGCGTAGAGTAATTGCTAGGCTCCCTGGCTCCACGACTGAGGAATCCGGAAGCGGATTAAAGAGCGACAATTGTTGCTTTCTATGGGCGTGAATAAAGCGTTGCACTGCTGTCCCTTCGCCATCGCCAAAGACGCCTTGTGTTATGCAAGATGTTATGCAGAGGCTTAGTAACTATGCATTTATGCACTCCCTCATTTTCTCCGCAGACAAGCCCTCATGGACCTCCTCCCGACAGACACTCCCAGCCTGAACAATGCCATCCCTTCGAATCCGGCCGTTCCAATCGTTTTTGCGCGGGACAACCCCACTGGCGCGATTCCCGCAAAGACGATGGGCTCAAGTCCACGATGTCCGCTATCTCGCCACGCACCATGATCCCAGCCAAGTGTTGGATAAGTACCGAGAGAAGTTGGACCAGAAGGCCAAGCAGTGAGTATTCTTCACGTTATCTTGTCTGTCAGCACAATTGTACTAATCGGAATTTAGGGAGGGCCATGAAAACGTCGATTCGCTGAAAGACGCCTACAAGGACAAGATCGAAGACCTCCGGCGCAAAGCTTCCACAGTAGCAACCCCAGAGCCCGACACCCCGTCTGCCTCTCCCACCACCTCGCCCTCGCCGTCTGCAGTCCCTCCTCCTCCTCGCCCGCAACAGCCCGCTTCCGAGTCCAAGAAATCCGAGTCCAGCGGCATCAAGCCCCTCGACTCCTTCATCGACGTTGAGAAGTTCCTCGGTCTCCCACCCAAGGAAATTGAAGGTATCTGGCGACTCCGTCATGTCTCGAACCCCGGCTCCATCTGCGCAGTTATCCCGGTTGAAGCATACCAGCGCATCTCCGCCGCAGCCCGCCAGAACCCGCAGTTCATCCTTCCGCTGCCCCGCAACAATGTCGAACAAGAAGAGCCAGTCAAGAATGAGAAGGGAGAGGAAACCGGCGAGACTCAGACCACCACCAAGGCTGGCGCAGACATCCACTTCCTCCAATGGGGCTTCCACCCGCCTGCTTCGCCGCCGGCGGAGACCGCGACACCTACTCAGCTTGCGAACGCCCACACATCGACTATCATCTTCACCTCGCTTGCGGCGTACAAGCTGCACGGCGCCTACGCCCAGCCTCACACTACTATCACCAACTATCTCGACCTTGCGGAGTCGAAGGGCCTGGTACTCATGCTTGGTCAAGTGATGCCGGATGCGGGTGTGTCGACTTCTGAGGCGAGCTGGCTGGTTAGCTGTGTGCAGCGGTTCTACGACTTCGGGGGCCAGGCTAATGAACGGAAGGGCGAGTTGGTGCGTAGCTTTAACCGAGGTGATACTGAGGTTTTCAAGGTTGACCATCTGATGGAGGAGACGGAGAAGCTATAGATTATTTAGGTAGATTGTATATTGACTACCCTGTACAATAGATAGATTGGACTGGTCATGATTTTATCTGATGAATGAATGAATGCTCACTCCTCACTCTTGCAATAGTCACAATTGATATATTGTCAATTTCCGATAATACCAGGAAGTATCCATCAGACAAACATAACGTACACAAAGTGGGGATTTGAGCAAACATCCAACCTTTCCAATACCATAGTCCAAGCATGGCTCCCTGGCCTGCATCATGCGAAATCATTGCTTCCTTTAGGTCTGAATCCTGAAAGAATTTTTCGCTTGGTATAGTACAAGTTCCCTTTCACGTCCTTCATTATTTGCCGTGACCATCGGAGAAACGAGGGGTGGACTAAGGGGGGAGATTCACAGGCTGACTTGTCGTTCCGACGAGAGGTGTTCCATGGCGGAATTGTAGTAGCATTCGAACATGTTTTTGATGGCCCGCTGGAGGAGGTCAAGGTCTTCCAGGAACTCATTTGTAAATGGCCTGCAGATGTTGTTGAAGAGGTTGGTGTGTTTAACGTCGAAAACCTCTAATGTCATATTTGTCAGTTGTCAGTTGCGAAATCACATTGCCAATCTAAAGTCGAGTTTGAATTGGAATGGCTCGGAAGAACTGTTGTCGCTTTCAGGATCACTTTTCGGTTTTTCTTCGAGTCTGCTGAGAGCCTGGGCTTTAATGCGTTATCAGCCCATGCTGGCTCGTTTGTGTTTTCCTTTCACCGCGCCACGCTCATAAAGTTGCAGTATTTGGTTCACAAGCATCATGATCTGTATTGCTTGTCAGCTCTCTTGGATGGCAAAAGATGTTGCCAATGCATTAGCTGGTTCAATACTCACTGGCCAGACTGATCGCTGTGTCTAGAAGTGTATACGATCCGGAGAAATCCCCATCTCAGCTGTGTGATCTCGTTTTCATCCACGTTTGGTTCCGACTTTGCATTCCACACTGGCATATACCGTCAGTGTCACTCTCAATCACTAAATTATTCTGCTAATACGCTATCAAATCAAGCGTGGCGTGTGAGAATGACGGCGTCTTGATTAAAGGCCAACACTCATCTTCAAAAATACGAGGTAGTGCCAGTTGCTCCCGATATACCTGGTGGACTGGACAAGCCTCGCGCCACTTCTTTTTGCACGTAGCCCTTAAAATTATCGTAATCATAGCTTCATCGTTCCGAAAAAGACGTCTCTCGATAAAATCGTTGATTTGTCGTGACATGCAGACCGGCATATGAGAGAGCTGCCATAACCAATGATGTAGCGATAGCAGACTCTCGTCGGGACTGGGAGACGTTTCTTATCTTTTGGTCCGACCCTCCATTACCATAAGCACAATGTTCAAACCTTCTTGAAGCATTACTAAGACACCTGTATTCGGGATCGGTTTGTTCTGTTGACGAGCGCGTCGTTTCAGCCTTCATGATATACCCGGCGCTGCGCTGGTGGGGATATCTTCATTGAATGTTGTTCCAGAAGTCTCGCGTCTCTATCTCCTTTGATTTCTCATCAGTTTCTGGTACCGTATGATAGACCTTAACGCAGGTATGGTGTGGTCGTATAAATGCTATAGAGGAACTTATTTCCTCAACAAGTGCCTTATGCACGCGACTTCCGGGGTGATTTGGGGTGCACCGAGGATAAACATGCATTGACAAAATATCAATTAAATTTGTCGCAGGGAACAGATATTGGGGTGACATTATTGACGTTCTCTGTGACGAAAGGCAATGGCATAAGGCTTGCAAGCACTTACAGGAAAGAGGATTTCAGCCTACATGCATTAAGAGAAGCAGATTAGTAGGAAGATGTTATACAGTCCTCTTTCCCTTTTCACGACTAGTTATTCTCCGTATCATCATTGCCAGACTCGTGGCTGTCGTGTGTTCTTTTTTTGGGCTTTAGTTCTTCACTTTGCATCCTTCGCTCTCAGCTCGGTGGTATGCTTCTGCTATGTCATCGTGCGGATATGTGCATTACATGCACACCCAGAAAGCACCAGTACCAGCACTTCAGAGCGGTAGCCTTGAAATGCAGGTGCTCGTTCCAGTATCCGGTCACAGTTAGCACATCACGACATTCTGCAATATGGAAAGCATATGCATACCCCGTTCCACTCCATATCGTCCCATGATTGTTGCAATACGTAGCGCAGCGTTCCCTTCTAATCTCCAGGAAGATTTCTATGGTCACGAACGGTGGTGTAGTCTTGATCATCCCCGCCGCTCTCGTCATCATGGCAGATAGGAACGGAGACCCCATCATATCATCGGCCTCTCTGACACCTTTCCCGTTCGCTTTCGGACAGGACTTCGTATAGTGTAGAGACGTAGCTTCGGGGCGTTGGTGATGAGGTGCATGATGCTTTCCACGAGTATTGTGAAATATTTCATGGACCACTATCATATCGATTTACCAAACGACTGTTGTAGTTTATTGCTCGAATTCGGCGCAGTTTGTTGGTTTCACTACCCCCAGTCCTTTTTGCTATATCGGGTCTGACTTTCTCAATGTAGTCATATGCGTTTTGAGTAATGGTTTCTTTCCAGTCTCTTGTGTCGTCTTTATTGCTCCAACGGATACCGGTTGGCCCAGAGACTCTTTCTATCCGAAGAACCAGACAGTACCGTTGTTGGTGGCGAAGCTCGTTTTATTTGTATCTGCCTTAGCTAGGTCAAAGGCTCTAGCGTCCAAATTTTGTTCATTCGTTCTTTTTCCTCGTCGGTGAGTAACCCCAAGAAGGTTGAGGCAGCTACATGCCGACCACCAGACGGGCGTGTATCTCATCTTTCTGTGTCGGCTTGCCACTTCCCTAGGATTGTGTGGTATTCCTGGGTCTAAGCCGATTTTATCATCATCCGGCTTATTTTCGTTATGCCGATTATTATTCGCAGGATATTTGAAGATGCTCAAAGTACCGAAGGAGTTGTGGCGCTTCCGTGCTGATATGATCTCAGGCTTTCGCCTCAGCAACCAAAAGGTTTTTTTCTCAAGCCAGCATTGTGGGTGCGACTTCCAGCATTGTAGCGGCCGCACAGGTCGGTAAGATGTGGGATTGTTGTATCCCTAAGTCTGGCTCTAATATAATGACCCGTACTGCATTACCGTGCCGTTGCAGATATGCCCTTATAGATGGCGCTTTTGTCAGAGATTGCTCTTAGCAATTGGATGACAATCTGTACGCGCTCATAAGTTGTTGACAAGAGCACAAGTTATTCACACTGCCAGATGATCTTTGCAGGTTGCCATTTTGAATGATAACCACGCGTGCGAGGTAATAACCAAGGGACTTGGGTCCACTTTCCCCGTATAAAACACATCAGAACCAGCTTGAATAGACTTTGCATCCCTTCAAGTATTTCAAGTATATTTATATAACTTATCTTGGTTAGCAACTAGTAGCCTACCTATGGGAGACTACTCACCTGTCTCCAGTCCACGTTAAGGAGACCAATGTCTGGAGTATACTAACTTCCGCGCGTCACTCTCAATCCGTGTCCTCGCTTGAGGACAGCAGCGGCAATCCATGCTATAGATGGGCATCAGAGTTTTCTTGCAGTACAGGTATTGCCCGAGAAAAAAGGGATGGGCTGTATTCTGGCCACCATTGGCTATTATGCTAGACCGTTTAGTTGTAAGAAAAAAAAACCCCCCCACGTGAGGTTCGGGTCCTGCATATATAGGACCAGCTAGGCCAGATATTTATATCTCTTATTAGCATATTTTCTAGGAACGACACAAGTCCAGGAAGTGTTCGCGATCGAATTCGGCAACCACGAGTAAGAATCGATGACGATGACGATGACGCCTCCGTAAAGCACCCACGCTGTGCTCAGTGATATAATCTCTTCGGAACTCACGTTGTGGCTTGCATTTTGTCTCGTTGCCTGAAATTGTATACCGTCCTGCAGAATATACGAGGGGTGTCTAGTACACCGCATTGGGAGTAATTCAAAGAACACTCTTTCTCGTAATTAGTGCATATCCCTACTTCTGCTGTTTAGTCCTTTCGATCCTCCTTGTGTCTCTTGCTTCGACGTAGAGTACTTCATTCTCGGTCCCCTTCTCAGTTCCCTCCTCGATTCCTTCTGACGCCACCGCGGCAATAGGGTTCAGACCAGTGCACTTGAAAGAGAACCCAGCCCTGTTCTATACTTTTCCCACGTTCCACGCTTGAGCCCACGCCAAAACGGCACTATTCTAGGGCGTTAAGTCCATTATTAATTCAACGGTTCTCGGTTACGCGTCGAATCATAAGGTCGTCCTAATGAAGGTCCGCCGCAGAAGTCGCGAAGACCTTTGTCAACTATACCGATCAGGCTGGCATAAAATTCTGTAATTAGGCGCTCAAACACATCTTGTAAAGATCGCGGCGATGATTTGATCGGCCCTCTTCTGGATTCCGCGCTCGTCGCCGTCCTAGATTTCTGAGGCCCATATGGCAAGAGCAATTGGTCTTTGCCGAACCTAATAATATACAAGTATAACCTTGCTGCTTTTCAGACGTTAACCTGCCAGGGTAGCTGAGAGCTTTTCAAAGACCCTCCAAGGATTCTCTTGTGAGATTGTATGAGATTTTGCTTGAAATTGCGGAACGCCCGGGAAAGGACGCTGAATCTTCAAGCTCACGTACACAACGTTTCGTCATCATATCCACGCCTGACAGCTCTGATCCCACAACCAGAACGGTGATTTTGCACACTTATATAACTGTCAAATCGTTAACTTGAGCAATTTCCTTTTGACACTCAACGAAGCTTTGGTAGCGCTCTCTGTTGGTATGCTGAAGAATCAAAGAACAGTAAGTATTAAAAGCCTCGGAATAGGCACCGAGGTATACTTACTTAGGAAGGCAGCCCACATGTGCTGTGTGATGTATAACAAAGTATCTGCCACATGACAGTAGCTCTATTAATTGAACAGAACAGAAAATCCATCGTGTTGAAGCATGAAGGCGCGTGATCGAATTCAAAAGTCAAGAGACCCAGTCCAACTTCTATAACTAGTGTTGGCCATCCATTCTTTAGTAGCTCTGCAACTTCTCAGGCTGTAGAAAAATAGGCTGGTCAGGATAGAAGGCAGCTGGTGGAGAATAACAGGCTGTAGCAGACGTGAAGTGGTAATGCATCGGGACCATTGTACAGATTTTGTTGATGTTATGGCTCTGAATATTTGCAAATAATAGCTCTGATTATAGCGATATTTATGTCAGTAATAAGCGTCATATCATTGAATCATAGCGACACTTACCACGCGAGGAAAGACGGACCTTGGGGGCTCTTAGGAATATCGTGGAACGTGGAAACGTCTCCCTCGACGCATCGCGTCATCCATGTAGTGCACTAAACTACCCAGTCACGGCAAGTTATTTTTGGCAAATCTCATTTTCCACGTTTGGACTGGTGCCCCTCGAACCAGGCTCATGCTGGTATAAAAATCGCCTTCACCATAGCTTATCCAGTACGTACAATGACCACGATTATATGCAGTTGGTGCTGGATTGATTGGCATGACAGCTTCTAGTAATTGTTAGGAACTGGACTCTCACATTTTTACCTTGCACTTCTTCTGACAACGACCAGAGCTGGCAATTGATATGAGTAGTCGCGGGAAACTCGGGATCTCTTGGAGTCCTTGAGGGTATGGTATTAGAATCCGGAGGATTTTGGGTACTAACAATGGCTGTGGATGACTGACTACTTAGGGCATGCTCTTCCATAAGTATCTGGAGGCCCTCATGCACCGGCGTGGCGGACTCGACAAATGCATATCCGGTGTTTGTCACGAAAGATACCGAGAATGATTGCATACAAGCTGAAATCAGACAACTCCACGTCTTTTAACAATGCATGCCAAGGTGGACAACTAATCTGTCATAAGAACAGCGAGGTGAGGCGCCAGTGCACTCTTCCATTCCCGTAGCAGATCTGCTGCAAATATTTTCACACTCTGTCTCATCTCTGTGTAGTTCCTGATGTCCCAGATCCCACAGAGCTGGCACTCTAGACAAGGCGCACTGGTTCCGGTGATCTCAGGAGAACGGATGTCCAGACTCGGTAGTTTCCTTCCATGTCGTAGTTCATCTAGTCTGTAGCTGTAAGAAGCGCATTTCTGGAACATTTATATTCTGAATGGCAAAGTTTTCTCCACGCACAAGCGGGACCGACCGCTCTAATGGTCATCATCGATATAGAGTCAGTAGACAATGCTCTTCATAGCTCTTCTCAGGTAGAAAACCAAACGAAGATGTCCTATCTTGTCACTCGGTGCAGCTAGGACCTTAGGGGCGGTATTGTATTCCCCCAAAATAAACTCTGTTCGCGTTGTCGCGTTCCTCAGCACTACCTAGGGCACTTCCTCATGGTCCCAGCAGTATTTATTGTCTCTGATCACCAACGGCTTGGCTTTTTGCCATTGAGTCTGAGCTCATTTTCTGCTGTCCAGTCTGAATTTGAGGTAGGCTTGATACTGATTCCCCAGCTAACAAGAACGAAGATGTTATCTGAGTGCGCGCGGTGCTCGCGTTTGATCGACAATTTATTTCGGGCCTCATGATTGCTCGCAGTGAATTAGGACTAGGATATCCATCCTGTTGGACGTGACTTGCGAAGCTGCGTCCTTCCTATTCACTGATGAAGAATAAGGACTCTATAGACAAGATATATCTTATCATATCTCACATTTAGTTTGCATGTGGTATCATCTCAACTGACTGAAGTGTCTAACAATCAAGATTGAACACGGACCCGTGATAACCAGCCATGTCACTCGAAGAGGGTCGAAGAATCAAAGAGTTCCTGTTGGTTGGTATTGTATCCCTCCTTCATATTTCTTTGAAGATCTAGCAGAGTGCATCGAAGGACAGTCAAGGGACAGTGTATGCTCATGACCAAGGAAGTCAACGACGGTCCAGCCCCTGACGTACCCTTTGACTGTACTGACCGCCGTCGCTGTCTATTCCAATCCAAGTCATCCAAAATTGCTTAATCTCAAGCCCTCCATGTATCCACAAGACTCAAATGCAGTGCTGGTTGGGCTGTGGCTCAGACCAGCCTGTTTCAAGAATGACAGTGGGATGTTTTAAGCCCATGCAAGCATCTGACTCTTTGCAAGCATCTGCTTGCAGTCCCTGAAAATTTTAGGCACCTGTTATCTGACGTGCCAGATCAGTACGTATCACTTCTTGGAGGGGAGGCTGAAACTACCACTCACTAGGGGAGGCCAAAATCCAAGTCCAATACTAGATGTAATCGGAACTCTTGCTGTGGCAAAACCACTTGGTCACACTGTCTTAGCCCATTAATTATCTATCCGTGCTGACCGTCGTCGAGTGCCCTGTGGGAGCATGTGACTGTCCCAAATATCTTCATGTGTGGCTTTCGCCGCATGTGAGAAAAGGATCAATCCCTCAATTGCCAATAGGCAGTGCGCAGTGAGTTCTTTGTCTTGATATTTCCCATAATCCTCACCCCACTCTGTGGATTGAGCACATATCTGCTCCCGACCATAAGCTGGATTAGGTCTTGAGATTTGTGGTGTTGGTGCTGTTTGACGCATTTTGAACCTCTATCGAAGTAATGAGTGAGGATGTTCAACCAACGGATTTCTCGACGCATGACAAACTACTTAACAGCGGACACGATGGGGACATGAGCCAGATTCCAAAAGGATGGCTTAGCTGAGTAGATGTTATACGAAAGTCAGTTCTAAATACCTCGCGAAGGAGACATGCCAAAAACCTGAGCTGGATGAGGAATTTTCTTCAAAGCGTGCCAGTCCTCGGGTGGGCTGGCGGCGAAGAGATCAAACGAATCGATCTCGTAAATCGGCAGGAACAGACGCTTAAAAGCAAAAACGTTGATCGAAATGGGGCAGGATATTCAGCATGTCGGGGAGCTCTGTAGTATAGCATTCTCTGCATTGCCAGATTGGAGTGCATGGGATACAAGAAGTTCTTGCTTGAGCGCAAGCGACCCAATAAGACGTGTGGCTCTCTATGAACGATGATGTTGGTGCACTGATATTTCAATAGCAAGGCAGGTCTGTTCATTTCAACTCACTAGTTGCTTGGCCTCACTTTCCGTCTTGGTGACGGTACCAGTACGCTTTTTCCCGTCTACAATTGCCCCCAATCACCATTGACAATCGATAGTCTCGACCTCTTTTTTGGTACCAGTTTCGCATCGGTCAGGTTCGTGGCGGTACTTGCAAGTCGCGGCGTGCGGGCACAGACCGGTGAGTCAGTCAACACATTCCTCCATTTCGTACGATGTCATTTTGTCGAGGACAGAGAATGAAGAGACATTATAGCGGCTTCACAAACAGCCTCCCACACCTCATGGCGTCATCCTCATTCTCGCAATTCCGATGCTTTTGAGCCAGGCAGCTGCACATTTAGCGTACATTGTGTATGACATTATCCTTCAGGTTCACTTTATACCGTGCGCCAAGGGTCTTCATTTGGTAGTCACCCCTAGAAAGGCAATCAATGCTGTTGACCGAGGAAGTCGAACTTTCGGAGCTGTACATCTGAAGTTTCGCGGTTGGGCACAACCGATATCTCGCGAGGGGGGTACTAGGGACTCGCGGCCATGTTACAGCCCATTGGTTTCTTAGTGCAGACTTGAAGTGATCCCCATGGTCCCTTGTGTAGTCCAGCCAGGCTCAACCGAGCCATCGGAATTTTCGTAATTTTTGTCCTGCAAGCGTCGCACGTATATTTCCGAGAGGTTTCTTTAGCTCGATGAACACAATTCTCAATTCGTCCCTATTCCGGCTTGTCCAATATCGTGGTCCCACTGTCACTCGGCCAAGAGATATTTCTTATAGCTAATGCTCATAGAAATGGATCCATTCGCAAACCCTGTTGGGTGATTGAGTACCACATTGTTCCCAAACTGTAGAGTTGTTTGGATACTTTGCAATACTCTTGTACTCGGAGATATCCTCATGGGATGCGCCAAAGACCTTCAGGTTGACCTCCTTTAACATAGTGTCGCATACGTCAAGATAGACCGGGTAGACCGCAAGCAATTCCCTGATTTCCTTCTCGTCGTAATTCTTTATTGTCTTTAGGAGCGCCTGTGCAAATTCCAACGCAGGTTATAAATTGTGGTCGTCTTTTCTCGTCATTTTTCAAATGGAACGGCTCTTCCGGCCATTGTTAAAATACGTTATATCGCAGATCAAGTGGCGTCTTCGTCGGGAGAATAAGTGGGGGATAACGGCCTGTATAGGTGTTAGTGAGCCCTAAGAGCATCAGGATAGCTGCCAACCCACTTACCTAGGACAGAGAACTCCCCAGTCTTAGGATATAGCAGAGTATATATAACAGCAGATATTGCAGGGAGCATTGGTCATATCTGTGCATTTTGGCTACCAATGTTGTTCGATCGTAGTGAATAAACTTTCGAGGAGATTTAGAAGCTCTTGCATCGTTGTGCTAGGGCATTCATGGCCCGCTGCAGCTTCGTACACATGGGTACACATGGAGGTATCTCATAGTATATGTGGATAAATTCTATTTGACTCTATCAATCCAGTTAGTAAATTCTTCAATACCCACACGGCATTCCTTTACCTTCAAAATGGCTCCGAAAGTGAAGATGCCATCATGTTACATAGAAATCATGTCTTGCAGCCAGGTAGGAAGTGCCCATGCAGGCACAGGTTTCCTGATGGACAGAAAAGCTTTTGGGCGTGGTTCAAAACAAAGGCCGCAATTGATGAATTCTCCACCAACCACCGCAACATGACAATCCACGGGGCTTGCATTCTAAGGGATACGTTGTCAACCAGATTTCGGTCTAACAAAGTCTCGATATCCTTCCTCCAGATATGAGATCACGATAAAGGCCTCGTGGCGACCAAGAGACATAAGGCTTCAACTACAGGATATCAGTATCTCCTTGGATCAAGATACACCACTGTCATTGAAAACTTACTATCCTTTCAGGTCCAGAAGTGCTGATGAGCTCTTTTACATTAGCCCCCAGGCCCAGCTTCAAGGTATCTTTATACCTCTCTGCGACGTCGGCAAGGTCTTTCTTCACACTTCCATCAAGGAAGGCGCGCTCCCAGCATCAGTCTTGCTGACGTATCCAGTAAGGACTTTCTTTCCTTTGGTAGTATTCAAGCCTCTTACTGTCTGGCGTGAGCTGAACATGTTGAGATCTTTGATTGGAAAGTATCGACACTGCATAGAAATGAATTAGCTGAGAAGACAAATAATGGTAAAGGAAAAGCAACAAGAGACCTTTCCAAGTTCCTCCATGTCTTGTTCTATGGCCAAATGCGGCTCCTGATTTTCCTTTGGCCATGTGTTGACGTATAGGATCGATGAAGTAATTATATGGATACACAGCACTGTGGGCATGTAATGCCCCCCTTTGGGTGGTGTGTCACTCTAACCAGCCAGCAGCATCTAGCTATAGTACCTGGTCTCGTGATTACCGGATACACACTATATCAGTGAATCAGTTTTTTATTTTTTATTTTTTTATTTTTTTTATTGAGACAGAGGTAATAGGGGGTCTATAACTTACCCGAATGCGCTCTATGAAGGCAATTGGATAGTATAGGAAATGTATCAACAGATAATACACTAGAATAGGGACCCTGGTAATTGTACAAAACAAAAGGACGGCGGGCCGTCAGCAAAGGGGTCGGTTTGCTTTGTGAGAAGGGTATATACACCAGTGGGCTTTTCAATTTTGTTCCCCTGCCGATTTCGAGGATTCGGTCGATAAACGCTGATCCGTACCCTTAGTCACTGTCGAGCTGTTTGGGAAGGACAATACTTGCATCCGCAGATCCTGTGCGTGCAGGATGAAAGGACGTGAAAGGTCTCTGAAAGGTGTCGTACAGAGTTAGTTTAGCTTCAATATGTAATAACCGTGTAGGAACACTTACCACAAGGGTACTGTTTATCGTCAACAACTGGTATTTTCTTGCCTCGATCTTCAGAAGTGAGGATGCTGACAGCCCATATCTCATACAAACATGTCTCATCGAGCTAGTACTAACAATGGCGCTCGTATATATTGCGGATGGTACTTCTGATTAAAGAAGGGTCCGTTCTTCTCTGTGAGAGTCGAAAGCCTGCGGTTCCTTGATTTGGGACCAGAGCCGAAACAGAAATTTGCGGGCGCAGTCATGGCACGATTCATAGCGTCTGCGGAAGAACACCAAGAACCGCCCATTGCTGAGAGGCGCTGATAGACTATGCTCAAAAGCATATCCTATTGCTGTCAATACTGGCATCATGACTGCGAATCATGCCGGTTCCTGTTGGCACTCTATGTGAATTGGGATGGCGATTTATCTTTCTGGGCTGGACTCTGCATCCTGGAATGCCGAGTTTATGGCCTCTCAGCTCCTTGCGGCCCCCTAACTAACTCTCAGAGCAAGTCAATCTTCGAAAGACAATCGAGCACAGATTATACAAATGTCAGTATTAACATCGCCAGTGTAATTAACTTGGCAGCAGGTGGCTGACTGCACAAACAGGGTACCCAGCTGGAACAAGACGTGATCTCACACACTGCATCTGTTATAAGGAGTGTCATTGAGCATAGATTTGGCAATGTGGTCGACAACGTGAAATCCTAACCAGTTTTGCTCGTACCATCTTCCACCAGGCGTCCCTCTCGGACGATTTGGTTGAACAACGAGTCCGTTGACAACGGTATTGCTTGCAGGATTCTTTGCAGGCAGAACCAAATATGACAAAGGGTACTGAGAGACGGTGCAGTCTTGCCCTTGCCTTTCTTCTGGATTTCAGCCGCCATCATGATGAGAAACTGAAGTATAAGTTCGACGTCGCGGCAACTTTTTTATAGACAGAGTGATTAGTATAGATCTGATGATATCCATGCGAGATCTATTTTGAATAAGGCAGTCAGGATCGACGCATACAGAGAATTTTCCTTGATGTTCCCGTCAAGGCTTTTGCCGAATTTCACATCGTGCTTTGGCGGAGTTTGCTTTGTTAACCAAGTGAAATGCCGACCAACGGGAAGCTAAGTCATTGATTGCTTCTTTCGGGCTATTCGCTGACTCGTTCCTCACTTTATAACATGCCGTTTTTTATGAGTCCTGGATCTTCGGACGCATTCAGACATTGCAGCTCTTTCTGCCACATAAAAGTAGTGACCGGAAGTATCTGGTTCAGCTAGAACTGCCCTGGATAAGTGCAACATGACTGAAGTTTGCTTGGAATCGTCATGTTGTTTTAGCCAATGGACGTGGCGTCAACCCTCTGGTTTATGTGTAGCTTCTCGATTCGCAGGTGTTGACACAGGGCGACAAGACCAATTATCTGACATTGTCGGGTTAGATGTGCCGTGGGTCACAACCAGACTCTGCTACAGAATACTGTCAGTATATTCATCATAGTCTCAAAAACAGATTGTTGAAATGATCTACCATTATACATTCACTCCACTTTAGCTTTGAGAAATATCATGTATATTCCTCGTGCTCACTGTCTTCTCTTCGTTGCCGTTCAGACTCCAGTCGAGATGTACATATAAGAGCCGTATAATAGGCCACTGACACGGCCAAATTGGCCGATCCAGGTGTAAATTCCTTGCAGATGTTGTTTTCAAGAGGGAAGCAAGCCATATGGTCGTTCATGTCGACCAGTATTCGAAACCATTAAGTGCTTGGTTGGTATCGTTAAAGGCGCTTCGACAAGAACTGGATCATCACAACGCGGCATCTGTGGCATGACTTGATTGCCAGCAGCCACGCTAATAACAAAAGTCAGAGATAAATCGACAGCAATCCGGATTGAAAACTTACCCTGGTTCGTTTAAGAAACAGGCGTCTCTCTAGCCCTTGTACAGCACGTAGCTCTCACGAGAACTCTTCGCGTCCGCGAGTATACAGAACAGATGTATATAGAAGAGGCCCACGTCTTTCTAACCATGCTCTCTTTGTAAAAACCGGCGACTTCGTGAACCGCCTCACTGTCCATCGTGCTCGCTAAATAATACATTAGTTCTCTTATGGGCGTGAGGATGACGGCAACTGACACATAGTAAGCATGGAAATCATACTGAAAAGAAACTGGCTCATACTCACGCCAAGGTGTCACGTATATAGCAGGCGTTGGATCTGCAACCAAAGCCCAAATGGGGGACTCGACAACTTTGATGGGGATCACCATGAGGAGATTCGCATTCGACGCCGGTAGGTACCCTAATAACAGCTTCGACGACGAACGGAACACAAGCCTTGTGCCTCCACCTTGTGCCCTTTTGAAGTACCACTTGGCCAGATGCTTTTCTCTGGCCGGTATTGGGCCGTGTATCTATGAACTGGGATACGTTTTCTGGCGCTGGTTAGTCGATGTTCTTCTCTTGAGGGAGTGCTACTTACTATACTATATAACCTCAGGAACATGGCGGCGACGTGCGCATGCCTTCCATTAATACCTCCGACAACCATCGTCAGGCCCCTCTTTCCTATATGCATCATTTTAGTTTCCAGGTCATCTTCTCAAGAAGTTGTATGTCCAGCCAGGTGAAGTGCTTACATCAGGGCCGTTGGTAGGTGGGTGCAAAGTCCAACAGTTTCGCTACCAATTTTTGCGTTGTAGATGGTGAGCAAAAAGGTGTTGATCTTGCGCAGCAGGTGACTGCGGCAGTCTCCAATGGTATCCCTTGTCAGGGTGGTACACTTCATCTACCAGAGCACGCATCTCAGCAACGATGAGAACACGTAACAGGGCAGACACTAACTATTCGTGCTTCTATCACATTTGGTCGTAGACTAGTATAAGAATGTTAAGTGACAGACTCTGTAGCTAAACGGGAGCATATATAAAAGTATAAAAGTGGTGGGAGTATAGAGAAGAGACAGAGAGAGAAATATGGAAGCAAGACAGTGAGGGCAGGGAAACAGTCATTGATGAAAAGATCTAAACGATTGAGGGGGGGATCAGCTCCTCCCTATTCATTCACTGTTTGTATGTCTTGATGCGGCCAACCCTTGTTTCATATGTATGTACCCTATATCCAAACGTAACAACCAATCAAACCAATACAATTCAAAAAGTCCTGTATATTAAGCTATCTGTACATAGATCCTAACCCAATCCAGAATACAGCCAGACCATCCCCAATACCGTCCCAGGCCGAAGAACTCAAAACAAGCGCCAGTACATCAGTATTCACCCAAACCACATGACGGGAAATTAGAAATGAGAATTAAATGGTTTAATACAAAGTAAGCAAAAGATATTCACGCCGAGTACTCCAGTTTGAAGATGGCAGAAAGAAATGAAACAAAGGGACTATTAGCAGTAGTCAAAAGGTAATGCGGGGTCGTTCCTGTGCTTTGATTCGCAGGGTATCGGTCGTTGTTCGCTTCGGTAATCATTAGGAACGACCAGAATAGCCAGGGTCGAGTGGAATAAGCAAATTTTGGCATTGTTGAATATGGTCGCGTCGACAGGAGCTGCAGGCTGGTGGTTCGATAAAATCAAGGTATCACGAATGGCAAATGCAAGTCGCCTGACACGGCAAATACTCCAGCTGTCGACGGGTCTGTTTGAGACTGGTTCACAGCATGAGATGGTTATTTTTTATCCGGAGTTACTTCTTCTGTAATGAATTCGAGGATATGCTCGAAATAGCCTGGTTCGGCAACACTATCGTTGTGGCCACCGTTGGGAAGAGTGCGCCAGAATTTGCGGTTCGAGTTGCAGACAGCATAAAGTTGAGTCATATTCAAAGGGCTGCGCAAGTAAGTTTGATGTTTTTATCAACACACGGAATTAAGACTTACGGAACCAGCTCGTCTTTCAAACCGCTTAGGAACAGTATCGGTACATCGGTGATCTTAGGCAGAACTTCTTCACTAGTCCAGTGTTGGTGACAAAGTCGAGCGAGATATCGCGCGGGAGGGAACACCCTAGAAGGAGTTAGATACCATGTCTTGATAAATGGATGGAGAACGTACGTTGGAATTAACTTTCGGATACTCAAAAACGTGTTCTCCAAGATCAACCCTGCAACATCTCCGCTTTCCTGGTTGTCCGCAACCAAGTTGATAGCCACCGCGCCACCCAGACTCTGTCCATAGATCAAAATCTTCGTATACATGGTCTCTGTGCGTTGGCGGATATAATCAAGGCCCGTTTGAGCGTCGACCTTCAGCCCCGTTTCATCGGGGACACCTGTCGACAGCCCATAGCCACGATACTCCAGCATCAGCACATTACAACCAACCACCTCCTGCATAATCTTAGCAATAGGAATGCGATGGCCGATGTTGCCAGCGTTCCCGTGAAACATCAACACGGTGACGTCCCGCACCAGACGCTTGTTGGATGGCCGGATAAACAAAGCATGTAACGATTCCCCATCCGGTGTAGGAATCTGCAGATCTTCATAGTCCGTGATGCCAAATTGACGGGGATTAGGTACATTAGTACGAGCGTCAACAGGCACATTGCGCGGGTAGATCAGCTCACTGTTCATCTAGTTAGTTTACCGGGGTATAGACCCACAAGACAAAGGGGATAACGTCACTTTTGTTTAAAATACAACAGTCCACTGGCAACAATCGCAAGGCCCGATGAAGCTAGCACTGGCAATCGAAGAAACTGAACCGCATTGTTGGCCATAGACGCGAGGCTCCAGGACGTCGGAGGCGGCGGAGAGTCGGACATGGTGGTCGAGCCAGGAGACGGCGGACTGTTCTTCCTGCGTAGACGGACCACCCTGGGCAGTGATGTGAGATATTCAAGATATGAGCATAGAGTAGTAGAGCTCGAATTACTGCTCGCAAGCAATTTCTGTCTATCTAAATATAGACAGCTGGGGTTGTAAGAGAGAAGAATCCATGATATTCTCTAGGAGTTCAGGAGGCTACCTGCGGGGGCGACTCCGCAGCCAATGGGGGGCTGAAACACGCTCACCGCCCGAGCCTACGCGAAGCTCCGACTGAAGCTCTCCTCCAGCATCATCATCATCATCGCCCAGCGTTTATCTCCATCACTTTCCAACCCTCTCATACTCTGCCAGCCGCCATTTGCTTACTATTTGGCTGTGATTGCTTGTTATATCTCGGATATCTACGTCTTTTTCTGTTCTTGCCATTTGTCGTAGAATTTCGTCACCCCCCGTTGAGTTCAGCAGACAAGATGATCGGTCACGGTACTACAGGAATGCTGGGGGAAGGTCAGTTCTGCCAGATGCAAGAACGAGATATCTTGCTGGGCTTGTACTAAAGGTGGTGCAGATGGAATCCATGTTGATATGAACCACCTGAAAACCGGAGAAGTCAAGTAAGTTGCTAGCGGCTATGGTTACCAACATACTGGACAGATACTAACTCTCCACGCACAACAGCCTAGGAACTTCGATGTGAGCACGACCTGACCCCGACTCCCCATCGAATAGAATTAACGAAACTAGTATGGCAATTAACTTCAAGGATGGTGTGATCTTGGGCGCAGACAGTCGGACGACCACCGGAGCATACATTGCCAACCGAGTCACCGACAAATTGACACAGGTTCACGATACCATTTGGTGCTGTCGATCCGGTTCGGCTGCCGACACACAGGCAGTGGCAGATATTGTGGCCTACCACCTCAACATGTATGGGATTACCAACAATGAGCCTCCCAGCACCCAGGTGGCTGCGTCGTTGTTCCAGGAGTTGTGTTATGAGAACAAGGATAGGCTGAGGTATGGTTGCTTGATCCGTCCATCTACTTCTCTTTTCTAACGCAGATGCAGCGCCGGAATCATCATTGCCGGATACGACCCGCGACACGGTGGTCAAGTGTACTCGATACCTTTGGGAGGATCTCTACACAAGCAGCCTTTCTCTATCGGTGGATCGGGATCGACCTACATCTACGGTTACTGTGACGCAAACTGGAAGGAGGACATGACGGAAGAAGAAGGCATCAAGTTTGTGCGGGGTGCGCTGCAAGAGGCCATCAAGTGGGATGGTAGCTCGGGAGGTGTCATTCGTTTGGTGGTCTTGACATCCAAGGGTGCCGTGAGACATTTGTACCTGCCGGACACGGGCTACACCGGACCGGGTGCGCAGTCATGAAGATGAGTATTTAATGGGCATGATGTCGTTTTCTGTTAGCACTCGATTATTGAATGAACTGCATTGAGATGTCTGTCGAGCCTTGTAGCAATCCTTGTTCCGTTTGGAGCCTTGTAGAGCTATGCGATATTCTGTCGTCAAGTGGCCGTCATTCTGGTGTACTTTTATGATAGATGCGATGGTCAGTACAGCAATATCGAAAAATGAGTGAAGTGATATCTAGCATTCCAATGAAACCAATTTCCGTTGAACTACTATGTTTGAGTAACTGCGACAATTGCCGCGGTATGTTTTGGCTATAATAGAGCGTTGTATACATGCTGTCCGGATGGAATCGCAACAACTGGCCCCTCTGGATTTTCAGGAACTCATTTTCATTCCTATCCAGTATTTTGCCACTTATAATCCTGTTTTCTCTTTTGGGTCTATCCCGTTATTTGGTCTCTTTAGTTGGTTCTGTTGGGCGATCGCCATCGCGATCCAGCCATCGTCCCCTTCATCTCCCTCTTCCATTCTCTCTTCCCTCCCTCTCCATCAACCACCGCTTCTCGCCACCTCACTCTCGTTTTCTCTCTCTTCTATTATCTTCTTATTAATCTTCTGCAATGGCTCTCTCTGTTGTCGCTGGTTGCTGGTGATCTCTCTGGCCGATTTCTGGTCCTTGCGTCCTGCTCTGACATCTGAGGCTCTGTGAGTGACCATCATTCAACCTGTCACCTCCATCCATCAGTTAATATCTTCATGATCATCCTAACCACTGACATCTGGTTGTCCAAAGCAGCTCAAGTCCATTGCATCTCTCGCGCAGTCCCTATGGGACTTGTTCTCAGCAGCCACTTCCACCAGTCCGATCTCATCCGTTATCCTCGTCTTGACCAACGATATCCCCAACAGCTGCTCCTCGTCCGGCATCATGCTGGAAAGCAGTGTTAATCAAAATCCTTCGCAGCAATCTGTGTATTCCCCCTCATCGCGTCATCCGAATCCCCCCTCAGCCGGGGCTGTCGCCGCCGCCTCATCATCGACACAATTAGAATCCGGCAGTTCCAGATCAACATCGACATCCACTCCTGCGTCTCTCAGCGACACCACCAACACCCCCACCTCGTTCGCGGCCCCGCTATCGACCTCCGCCGCCGCCGCCGCCCGGGGCTCTGCTCGTCTCTCTTCCCACCTTCCGCAACGTCACGATGTTCCGCCTTACATCTCCCATCAATCGCACGATTCATCAACTGCCTCCTCTCCCTCTGTCCAACAACCTTCGACAACCGCCACGCGGTATCCTTCCTCCTCGTCTCCCTCCACGAACACACCTGCGGCCGCCGTTCCCCGCCCGTCGATCTCGTCAATGAACCCCTCTTCTTCTGTTACCTCTGCCTCGTCCGCTGCTTTCAGTCATGGCCCTTCCACAACATATCCACCGAGCAACATCAATCACACATCGACTTCGCGTTCAGGAAGCCACTCGTCCCCCGCATCATCTCGACTACAACCCTCCAGTCGACCATTGCGGTCTTTCACGGGATCGGAGGCTAGCTCTCCCAATCGCATCAAAGTCCGAGATTTGTCCCATGTTCAAAGCTTCGCCTACGAGGAATATTATGCCCAATCGCAGAGGGATTCGCAAACCCCGGGGCAATGGGAACAAAAACGCCAATACGAAATCAGTTCCATGCCGGTCACGGATATCATTGAGATGGTCGCGGGGCTCTTGACTAAAATCACCACCAGCAACGATGTCCACCACGAACAGATGCATCAACACCTTCCTTCTCCCGATGGTACGGCCAACCTCAGCCCTCAGGCCACCAGTGTACTGGCCTTTCATGGCAAAAATGTACCGGGGATTTCGATTCTTAGCTACCTAACTCGCATCCATAAATACTGCCCCACTACCTACGAGGTCTTCCTCAGTCTGTTAGTCTATTTCGATCGCATGACCGAAATGGTGAATAAGGGTCACCTTGACCGGGTACAGCATCGTTGGGGTGACTATTCCGGTACAGAGGCCGAGAATAATAATGATGCCAACTCTCATAATATCATCTCTCCGCCCGAAGCTGAGCGGATGACTCAACCGTCACATACCTCACCTATAGTGACACCACCGTCGTCCACCGGGATGGTCGCGCAGGACCCGACCAGTCCCTCATCTATCTCACCGTCATTACGTCCCCAGGGAGCAGGCCACCCCTTCTCTCATTCCTTCGTTGTCGATAGCTATAATATTCATCGGCTGGTCATCGCGGGCGTGACCTGTGCTAGTAAATTCTTTTCTGATGTTTTCTACACCAATTCTCGATATGCCAAGGTACTTCTTTTCCCCCGTTTGATTATTTCGGTCACTCATTTGTTCAGGTCGGAGGTCTCCCCTTGGTGGAATTGAACCATTTAGAACTGCAATTTCTACTGTTGAACGACTTTCGACTATCGATTCCCGTCGAGGAATTGGAGTCGTACGGAACGATGTTGGTTGAATTCTATGCTCGGGAGGTAGTATCCCAGCAGCAGGCCCAAGCCCCTTCGATCAATCCTTCAATAGCCTCTGCACGTCAACCAGAGGTCCGTCAGACGCCAACGCCGCCATAGTGGCACGGTATATCGGTTAATGCCCCCTCAATGCAAAGTATCTATATCTTTGCTCAACCAGTCCACGATCAGATATCATTATTGATTGGCACACATACCCCTTTTTGTTTTCCAATTTGTCTATTTATACTATAGATCTTGGTTGTTGGTCGCATTCCACGCCAGTACTCATTCATTTGCGTTTGCTGTTTCCGCATTGTCTTTCAGTGGTGTTCGGCGTTAAGCTCGTTTTGTTCCTTCGGGTATTACACTGTATTCGTTGGATTTGATTTAGTAACGATGCCATTTGATCCCGCGTTCATTTGACAACCGAAAATCTCGTATATTAATATTGCGTCGTAGCCCTGCCCGGGGGAGTCAAAGCTCCTGAGCCCATGCTTGTTTAAGCGCCCTGCATGTATGCAATTAATCCTTGATAACGACAGTTATAGGGAGCTGCCACGTGGGCTTAGGCCATGATCCTATAGGCGTACTATGTGGGAGTGGGGTATAGATAACTTTCCATATTAGGGTACTATACCTGACATCCAAACGCCCTCAACCAAGTAAAGGATTGTACGAGTACTCCGTACTGATTGCTATTTGCTACTTATCTTCGTATGCTGCTAAATGCCACATAATCAATGCATAGTCAGAGTGTTTTGTACTCCAGGATTCTCCAAGACTCCACTCACTTCACTAGAATAGCAGCAATCCGGTAAGATATGTAACTAATTATTGACGTGAGAGGTCTCATACAATACTCAGTATATCGAGTAACCAATCATGAAATATATTAGATACTAGCCATCCAATAATTCAGTCAAGTCCAGATAACTTCAATAACCCCACCTCCATACCCCCCCTATCCAACACCATTTATCGTCTATTGTTGCCACAGAACACTTTACTCTTTCAACCACATCCGTCTTATCGTATCGCAAGACCCTTCTACTGCAGACTATAAACACACGGCCCGAACTATGTATGTCTCAAACCCAGCAAAAAATAGCAACAATAACACCGTTTAACCTATCTCGGCTCGGGCCGTGGAGCTTAGCACTAACTGTGTAGTGCGAGATATGAATTGTACCTGTACTTGTACAAATTACTGGGTTTAGGTAGTGTGTCTATGTATTGATATACAAGTGTGAGAGGAGTCTATGACCAACCTTCTAGTAGCTCATAGACATACTTTCAAGAGTCAAGGGGATAACGAGAAGACATACATACAAAATTAAACGCTTCTTATATGAAAGCTCAAGCATGTCACATGATCGCATCATATTACCGAAGGATCGCAATCTAAACTATTAATAGAAGACAAAGGAACAGGGCAAGGCTGTGAGCCAAAACTAACCCTCACCAGATGCTCCTATAATCAAGGATGGTTGTGCGAAAGGGCCGTGATCTACTACGCAAGATAAAAGGCCATTTCAAACAGCCCGAGCCAATCCAGTTTTTTTCTTTTCTCACCAATTTACCCCCGGAACTAGTACACGCGATTACCACTTTCTTGGAGACACCAGAATTCTGCTCCCTGCGCCTAACCTGTAGAAAAATCTATGCGAGCACACGAGGTTATTTCGTGCGTTCGTATCTGCACACAGTGCGGACGAATCTTTCCCTGACCGCGTTACAGAGACTGCAAGACCTCTCCCAGAATCCAGATCTAGCACCTCTAGTCCAAAAATTAGTCGTGAAAGGACGACCAGAAGATGATGATTTCTTCGGGCAAGGAATTGTGTGGGAGCGACAACACCCATCTGGTCATGGTCATCTTTCCATCCCGCAAAAAGGAATCCAGCAGTGGCAAGATGTGCTCCGGCGTTTGGTCCACTGCAAGTCTTTCCAATTATATCGCAACGAGTCATATGAGATCGATAACACGGGTGGTCTCCTGACGGCCGGTGATGCACTCACACTGATCCTCGGCATTATCATTGAGATACAAATACCAGTGGTGGCATTTTCAGTGGATTTCCAGCACGGCTTAGCAGTAGATTTCATTCACATAGGACGGATCAATACCAGTGCTGTGCGGAGACCAGAGTTCATCACTACATGGTCCGGTGTCCAGGAGCTCAGTCTCAATCCTACACTGCAGCCTGCAACCACCGCCGACTGGGTGTTCCAGTTCGTCCAACACACGAGGAGTCTTCGGAAGCTGCAGATCGATTTCGGCCTTGGTGATGAAACAGCTTCCTTTATGCACCGGTTGCCGTATGCGGAGTTACCATTTCACCTACAAGAGGTCACGCTCGGGAGTATGTCACAGATTTCTGGGGAATCCCTCGCGCAGTCTCTCATGCGCTTCCTGTGTCGGTATTGTGACAGCCTCCGCAGGATCTATCTCAAGGCTATTTTCCTGGAAGAAGGAGACTGCGTTGCCGTTCTCAGGTGTCTACGTGAATCCGAATTCTCCGCACTCGAGGAAATCAACCTTTTCCACCTGAGAGACGGAGATAAAGGTCTTCATTTCCCGGGAGTATCGGAAAACTCTATTGTTGATGAGGAACAAGGCACGGAGTTTACTCATTTCTCTGTGAAAAAGCGTGGAGGGAGGAGGAATATTGGTGTTTGTTACTCGGATGCGAAGATGGATGTTGCACTCCGGAAACTTGTGGATTGGGCGCAATTCTATTGATTCCAGGTTATATTTGCATTCAGCGCCGGTAGCGGTAGTTATCATGAGTGTGGTCTTTGAACCTTATGTAGTACGTTGGCGGGGTTTGCTGTTGAGGTATCGACTAGCATGTATATATATATAGACTTTGAGGATGGTCGGTCCTGAGGCGTTCAATGACGTCCAGATAAGCAGAGTTTAAAATACCCTGGTGGCAAGAACTCAATTGATCCTCTGCCAGGGGATAGAGTTCAGGCAGAATACAGATCTTAGTGTAACCCTACAACGCACACCCAGAAGAGTCAAAACACATTTATCAATAAAATATAGATAACCTCCAATACGATGCAACAATGCAAGCATAACCATCCCTCCCTCATTAAACGCAAGCATAGCCTTCGCATTTCGCATTTCGCATTTCGCATTTCGCATTTCGCATCAATCATGTAACAATCATTCAATGCAACAAAAACAGACAGAAAGACAACCGGGCGAGTGATGCATTTTCTGTTATATTCCATACTCCTATCCGTGTACGCCGTATAAAAAGGAATTGTGTATCGTCATTCGATTCGTGGCGGACTTTGCGATTTCTTTCCTAGAGGACTGAGACTTGATCTGTTCTCGTTAGCTATATCCATTCCTTGACAGTCAGAAAGAGGGAAAGCATACGACCGCCTCCTCTCCCCCTCCTTTCTGAACCCCTCAATTATCTTCGCAATCTCCTTCCTCCCAGCCCGCGCATCAACCTTCCTCCCATCCAAACTCATGCTAACCTTCTCACTAGCATTAGCCAGCAATAACCGTTTCAGCAACAAATGCCGCATATTCAAACACACAAACACCCCGCAATCACTCCCATTCTCTTGTAACGGCGAGTCGCGCAGAGCTACGAACTGAAACGGCCGGTTGAGGAGGATACTAAACTTTCTTGTCGCCGTGTTCGCTTCCCAGTGATTCCCCGGTGGGAGCGAGTCGTAGTGGAATGCAACGCCGTCGACGATCGAAATCAAGAGTAGAGACCAGTGCGTCCCGCCTTCGGCTTCGGTGACGTTGCGGCAGTCGTTTATGGGGAGGAAGACGTGCGTTGTGTGGGTGAAGTCGGGGAGGGCTTCGCGTAACGAGAGGGGGTTCGGAGTCTGGAGGATCATGAAGGACATGCTGGGGCGCAGGAGGACGATGTTGGAGGTGTTGTATTGGACAAGGAATTCGCGTTCGAGGTATCTTCATTTTAATCAGTTACCGTTGTTTCTAAGGGCTGGTGAACGAGACTCACTCCTCCCAGAAAGATATAACCTGTAAGGGAGATGATTAGCTCAGAGCCCAGCGGATAGTTCCATGTCACCCACATTATCTGTGAGCCAGTCATTCTTGAGCGTTTGCATGTCCTCTCGCGTCACTGTTTGGTCAGTCCATGATATTCACGACTTGATTATAGCTGCAACATACACCGAATATCATGGTCTATCCACACAAGTCAGCACAAACACCATGGTACGGTAACCAGACGAAGGACTCACAGCTCAAGTACGCATCATCCGGACTCAACTGCACCAGTTAGCCGCCTGAACACTACCAGCGCCTCCCTGTTGAACTGCGACAGCCGAGTAGCATACCATATCCCCAAACCTCCCCCTCATCTTCTTTTGCAACCTTCCCAATCCGCCTTCTCTCATCGCGCAGTATCTAGGCAGAAGGATTCACTTCGTTAACGGCGTATATCGTATGGACAATAAATTCGTATATCGTAGCACCGTGGTCAACTCGCGAGATTCGAATATGGACGGATATCCAGAGGAAATGTCAACGGAGGAGAGGAAAGCGGGACGGAAGGAGGGGTGTAACAGTGTACAATCGGAAGCCGGGGAACGGAGACGAGACAGAGATGGGTCGGCGGGATCGGCGGGATTGTCTGCTCGTGTGTGCGGAGTGCTACTCTGTGTGTACTCTGTAGTTCAAGAAGAATTGTATATGGCTAGAAAATGTATGCTGTACAAATGCAAGAAAAGAACAGATATGTACCGAGTACGCCTGGGGATGGGTACTTTGCAGATGTAGAGGCGCAAGGCGCAAGAAGCAAAACGTCACTGTGGCGCCTGTGGCTGTGCACGTGATGATCTACCATTCTTCACGGTAAAGCATAAGAAGTATACACATGAATTAACTCAACCATGGGGTATCTAAATGTACATCCAAATTCCAGAGGATTGGCCTCAGAATCAGCTGACCCCTTAAAGGATCAGTAAGCAGAAGGGCAAACATATCACAGAGAACAAATCACATAACGTCCATTAAATGGACAAGATCGAACAGAGATGAAAGACAAATAAATCAGAGAAGGGATTTCGGTGACTCGAACACCCAAACGCCCTGCTAATGTCCCACATTTAAAGATCGCTAACCATCATCCAGGTATAAAGACAAAAAAAAACACAAAAACAAAGAAACGAAGACCTAGCCAGACAGCTTGGCGAAATGCTTATTCCAGATCCATCCGACTTGATGTGTCGGATCATCCTGGTTTCTGGCGAGCCACAATTCGCCCTTTTCGGCAATCACATCGAAGATTTCACCCGCGACATAGGTCAGGTACTGATAGCCCGCTTCGCGACGTGCGCGATCGATATTGAATTCGTAGATACTCGCCGCGAGGAAAAGCACCTTGGGTTCCTTGGGATGCTCATCGATAGGGTCAGGCTCATTGTCCTCTGGGTTGTCGGACATGGGCATGGCCGATGAGAAGAAGCCGGAGTAGCGACCACCTGCAGGGGTGGCGGGTTGGTTATCACCAGCCGTGGTGTTGATGATATCACCCAAGAACGGGCTTTCGAGACTCAGCTGCGGCAAGCTGGGAACTGGCTCCGGATTAGGATTGCTGGTCGGAGCGCTGGTGACATTCTGCGCTGGCTCAGGTGATGATGCCCGAACACTACGTGCACTTGCGCCCCGGCCAGAGACAGCAGAGTCAGCACGACGGCGGCCGACAGAGACAAAGGACTGGCTGTCCACTGCGGGAGACTGGAAGGACGGGTTGCTCGTATTGAACTCGTGAGAGACTTTAGGCGAGTCGTCCATGGCGGACCCGACACGTGTGCTGGCGCTGTTAACCGTGGACGGCCTCCGTGACTTTGGTCCAATAGACGGTGTGCTGTAGTTGGGCTGACCAATAGTGTCGACAAGCAAAGATCCATTGCAAATTCCAAGTGACAGCACTTGCGCATCCGAGAAGGTAAAGTCCGAAGCCCACTCGTTGAAGATCTGCTCAACATCATCAGGGAACGAGTCGACCAAAGGTGTGAGCCTCTTCTGCTGAATGTTCTGCCAGGTAGTCTGGATCTGAACAAAGTTCTTCAAACACGCCTCCATCAATCGGGCAGTCATAGAATAGAGCTTCGGCAATTCATCCTTGAGAGTTTCGTTCAGGGCCACAAATTGTTCGGCTTGTTCGGCACTCTTCTTGTCTGGCTTGTCTCCTCGATCCTTGACGGCAGTGAAGCGGACATATTCTAGGAGTCGCTTGTCGCGTTTGCGCATCACCCTTTGTGGTCCATCGTAGAGCTTGAGTAGTGAAATCATCGGATCAATCACACTCTTCCGAACAATGTCAAGCTGGTTCTGTTAGCATATCCTTCTTGTTACCCCACAAGGGAAAGAACACTTACATGTTCAGGCAGTGCCACCGTCATAATATCATGAACAACAGTCTTCAGTTGCCGCCACCGCTGCTCCAAATCGGTAAACCTGGACTGCGCCACATCGACGTAGCTCTCAATAGCAAGAACGAACTCATTGAAGCGGTCCATAGAACCCTGAGCTTCCTGAGTGTACGACTCAACATCCCGCATGACAACCTGCATCTGGAAGTAGCTGTCGCCGAACCGCTGGGACAGCGAGTTATACTCCTTGTCTTCGAACATATCGGCCACGTTGCCGACTTGTTGTCGCAATTTGTCCGAACGACGGCCAAACGCCTTGGATAAACCGGCTCGCACATCGGACTGGTTCCTCTTGCGGCCTACCACTTGGCCCACAAGATCAGCTCGCTTTTTCATCTCGTTGATGCGGACGGAGATGTTAGTGACCTCTTCGAGAGCATTGACCAGCGATGCATAGTCAGGATGCTCTGCGGGTGTGGAGTCCAGGAGCTCGGACAATAGGAGAGGATACTTGAGAATCCGCTGCACAGGCTTGACGAGCAGTGAGTCCAGGTCCCATGCAGTTGTAAGGTCCGACGCCCAGTCACGGCATTCTTGAAGCCAGATGGTCACCTTCTGGTTTTTCTGCAGGATTTGCAGCTTCTTATTGGCGGCATCATGGTTTTTCAGGTAGTCAGTGTAAACCTTCTCCATGTGCGCCATGTGCGCCATGAAAGCCTGGCCAACGAAGGTGGCCTGGTCTTTCTCCAAGTCTGACGCTTCTGTGCCAGGCATAAAGGATTGCTCTTCGCTGGCACCATTCAATTGCCTGTTGCGTACGCGTTTGCTGCTCCATCGTTGAGATTTCGGCATCACGTATATACTCTTGGCAGAACGCTTCAGTGTGTCTTGGAAGGCCGTGGAAAACTGGACCACTTGATCCGAGTTGCCAAAGAGAATTTTGACATCATCCGTAGAAAGATCCAAGCATGAGCTCGAAGTTCCTTTGTAGATGTCATCGACCACCTTCATATCTCGGCCGAAAGTGTATTCCGTATCAACCAATTCCTTGATGACATGGCGTCGTTTCTTGAGACGCCGTTGTTCGGGGGATGGCGAGGGTCTCTTAAGATCGAGGCTGGTCTGCTCTGACTGAGAAGGAGCCAAAGAAGTTACTGATGAGCCGACGGCGTGAGCTCGAAGCGAGGAGGTGGTCTCAATATACTGTAGCGAAGAGCTTTCGCTGCTTTCAGTGCTCTGAACAAGTCCCAATGGCGTATAATTGCCACTTTGTGTCGGCACATGAGAAGGTGGCCGCTGCTGCACTTGTCTTGATGGTGCATCTGAAGAAACCTTTGGCTGATGTGGCAAAGGTGGTGGTTGTCTCGTGGTAGTTTCTTTTGGTGTAGTCTCAGCCGGCTCCGTTGATTGTGCACCCTGCTGTTCAGACGAATTACCCTCCGAAGAGTTATGCGCCTGTGGTTTTTGGACGTTGATGGCCAGACCGAGATTGTTTTGCGACTCGTCCGCACCGGATGATTGTGTTTGTGTCTTGGACTTTTCGTAACGAGCTAGATCGTCATTGCGTTTACGAGTCCTGACAATTCTCTCCCCTTCTGACGAATCACTGTCAGCTGCAACTTGCATCCAATCAGCAATGGACGGAGATGCATGCTCCCAATCATCCCGGAAGAGCAAAGTGGCTGAATTCCGAGGCTGTTCGGTCCCGGGAACATCGCCAAGACTTGAGACAAGGACCGGATCATCCGTGAGACTGTCTGTACGGCCATCCGATCTCTGGTCCGTAAGATCAGGGCGTCGGGGCTCCGGAGACGAACTGGCTCCTGGAGCTGACAGGTTGGGACCCCGACCACGAGCCAGCTCTTCGAAATAAAGCTGCGTGACCCGCTTGGAATCCCAGCCGCCGAGTCGTGCCAAACTTGGAGCGCTCGAACGCCCGAGAGTGTTACGGGTAGATGTCTGTTCACTCTTAGAATCGAAAGCTCCTGCTGAAGGCTGTGGCGGTGTGACGGTAAGATGACCGATAACCGACGGTGGCGTACTTGATGAAGCCGAGCATGATTGAGTAGTCACTTCACTGTCATCTGCGGAGGCAGCAACGTGAGAAAGATCTTCCCCGCTGCCATTCTCGAATCGGGCCTCTGCAAAATGTTGACGAAGTGAAGAAGACCAGGAGCTTGCGCTCCAGCGGTTGCTGGGCGGCTCATCGCCGGCCTGGTCCTGCGAATTGTCCGACGCATCACATGTGTCTTGATCATCACTGCCGTTGCCATTCACGGATTCCTCAAAGCGGGCACCGTCCCTGAGCATGATAGGAATAGATTCCTTTTCATCGTTGTCCGAAAGACTGTAGTCTGGTTCGTCGCAGGAGGATTCATCGCTCGGGCTAGACTCCCGGAATTGCATGATCTGACTCAGCAAAGTTCGATGTGACGTATCCAGTTGTTGGGGGTGGCCCAACCCACTCTGGGGTTCTGGGTCGAGCGTCGTCACATGAGTGTCGGTGGATTCTAAGGTGACCGCCGACATGGGTTGCAGGTGAGACGACTTGGGTTCGGAACGGGGAATAGTGGCGTCTCTGCCCGAGACCATTGGAAGCCCCAAAGTGGGAGAATCCATAGCCGTCGTTGCACTAGGAAGCTCTGGCAATGGCGGAAGACGGGTATCGATGTGAAGTGAAGGGAGAAAACGAGAAGGTTCGGGTTCAGAGATAGATGGGTAGTGGTTATTATTATTACTAGTTAGATGTTGATGTGCGGATGGTTGTGGTTGGTGCTCGTCATGACACGTCTCGACTTGGTCGTCAATTACCGTGGCTCCATCCTCTGCTGTTGGAGTAGGCACACTATCAAATTGGTTTTGTTGCTGCAGCTGTCCGTGCGAGGGTGGATGGCGGTCGTCCACGTTCTCTTCTTCTCTTGGTTCAACCTGACGTCGAAGTTCCGCTGCTTCTTCCTCTTTTCGTTCATTCTCTTGGACGGTTCGATTAAAGGCTTGTTGGATTCGCTGCCGCCGGGTTGCAAAATCGACATGACCCAGCTCGGGCAGTTTGCGCTCCCGGCGGGATCCTCGGAGCTCACGGTCGCGAGTGATTCGTCGTTGGATGCTGGATACTCTTTCCACGACTTTGGATCCTGAGTCGGTCGGAGAAGTCGCATTGGAAACTGGCTTGCGGGGTCGAGAGCTGCGCAGTGGGGGCGTTGACTTCTGCGGAGGCGGCGCAGCTATGTACGCCTGCAAGAGAGGATTCCTCCACGATTGCTGTTGACGGACTCGACCATGGACCGTCCCCATCGAGCCCGTCGCAAACGGTTCCGGGTCGTCATAATCCGACATTCCCGGAAGGGAATCGGGAGGAGATGACGGTATAGGCAGGCGGCTGATGCCTTTCGGTGGCAGGGCGATCTGCGCGGCGGAGCGGCTGCTGAAAGTTGTCGGGGGAGCGGCTCTGGGGGGAGAAGCATCCGAGACGAAAGCGGAGCTCAAATGGCGGGATGAGATAGGAATGCGTGACTTGGAATGCGGGCTCCCGGGAGACGTGCTGACGCTTGGCGACTGCTGCGGCAAGGGGGCAGATCCAGCTGCTGCCATGTGAGAAGACGACCACCCCAGTTTTGAAGCAGCGAAACCAGCAGAGGTTGTCCCAGGAAGGTCGCTTCTTGCTCTTCGATGTGATCGACTGGCATCCGCATTTGGGTCAACGGCTTCTAAAAATGGTGTTTTCCCCAGATACCAGGCCGTCGGAGTTAAGGGTGATCGGCCAGAGGAAGGGCCGAATTGATCAATGGTTGCTGGGTTAGGACTAGGGATACTGCCTTCGGACCCTCGACGCATGTGAGGAGGAATCCCAGCTGCAGAATTGTGAACGCTGGTATCAACTGCAAGACGCTCGCCAAACCTCAATGGCCGTCGAGGTATGGTTGGTCTGGAATCCACGCTGGTCTGCGCCTTACCGTTGGTTTCACTGACCGTGCCCGCGGGTGCAACGGTATCCCCATCATCATTTTGTGCTGAGGCTTTAATCATGTTCCACCGGTCACCCGGTGGAAATTTCGTTGATGTCGGGCTGCCGGCCGGACTTGCAGATGTTGATCTATCTTGGAATCGAGGTGGCATGGGAAGGACCTGGTCATTGGTTTTTTCGAATTTATTGATAAGGTCCTTGAAGGAGACCTGGCGGGGCCGGGGGTTCGATACTGGGTTCTTGGAAGTTGCTTTGGTGCCATCCAATCCTCGATATGAAGTATCTGATACGGAGCGGTTTTGCGATCCCCAATTCGTGCAGGATGAGTCGAGAGTGTCATAAGTTGGCAACGAAGCAATTCGCTGGAATTGAGGAGGTCGTGTTTTATTGCTGGCACTGTCGCGTGCTTGGTGCTGTCTACCCGTATTGATGTCTGGACGTGGATACTGGCGGTAGAACTCGTGGGGATCCGGGGACGCTCGACCACTTTCTTGGTGGGGACCCGGAAGATCGCGCAAGGGGAAGGTGACTGTTCGCAGGGGGGCGCGGGGAGGTGACAAGGTCGAGTCGGCTAAGGAGGCATTAATCGACTGGTTGAGAGGAGCATCGTAGAAGAGATCGTTAGAGCTCTGGGAGGATTTGCGGCGGAAATGATGTGGTCCGCTGTGGTCGAGCGGGCGAGAGACATGGTCGACATCGTTACCGGGCATCTTGCATTCTCCTGATCCGCAGCAGGAGATTGGCCAATAACTGAGTGTTCTCCTATTTCTTTTGCGACGCGATTTTCCCTTTGAATGTTGAATTGAAACTTGCTGATCGAACGGAGGGTGTCAGCTAAATGATACAATGCGTTGTTTAGAATGTCGCAGATGACCGAACGGCTATAGTTGGTAAGTAAATCCCCGGGGAGTGTCCCTATCCAGAGTCATATTTGAGACAGAGACACAATCGAGGACAACCAAGCCACGGGGTGACCCTGAAGAGTCCTCCCCGGAAATGCGTTCCAGTGACGGAGAATGTATACGGATGAAGCGGAGGCGGGGGAGAGTAATTGTCTTTTGACGGAGAGAAGGATAACCGTGAGCGACAGAGGAAACAAAGGTCGAAGAAGAGGGAGAAAGAGGAATAATAGGAGAAAAATAAGACGAAAGCGATGGATCGACGTGAGAGGGTGAGGCTGTAAATAGAGCGATGGTGAAACTGACGTTTGCACGGCGTTTAGCGGTTTGTCAGGCGGAAGTCTGGCGAGGGCGGGTTAGTTGAGGTTTTTTTTCTCTCTATTTTTCCCTCTCTAGTTCTCGGAATAAAATGAATCTGGCAATCATACCGAAGAACTCATAAAAGAGGAAGAATTAGAAGAAAGAAATGGGTATAGTTTAGTGGACCGATGGTGGTGGACCAGTAGTCTGAAGTATGGGCTGTCCGAGGGGTTCTTTGTGAGAGAGAAAAAAAAAGAGGTCCTTCTTGCGTTTGTTTTCTTGTTTTCTAACCCACGCGAACCGGAATTAGAGAGAATTGGAGAAAGAAAGAAAAACGACTCGAACAGGCAGAAGGAAAAAAAAAAAAAAATTGAGGAATTGGGCTGCAAGCTGAGCGATAGTATTACTCCGTCCTGCAGCGCAGCGGGTACTAATGGAGCGGAGAAGAAGGCCGTCAATTCAGTAACAATGGAAACGACCGGTAATAGTGAGGAAATGAGAAAAAGCCATGAGGAAAAGATGAGGAAGAAAAATCAAGAGAAAAATGGAAAAAAAAACAAAAAGATGATGAGGTGGTGATGGCAGAAGAGGGGAACTACTCTACTAGTACTCTGTCTGTACTGCACTAAGAATACACAGGAATGATTCCATTTACTCCTGGTCGTTCCATGGGTCAATTCCTTTGTAAAGATTATTATGCACGGTGTTTCAGTATTGAATAGTATCACTAGTCATAGCATATCGAGTGATGGACAGCCGATCAATTGATTTCTGATCTGTCTATTGTTGAACCTGGTCTATACATATCTTCAATAATTAATATCATTCCCGATAGCTGCCAACTCAGACGCTACTGTACACTATGTATGTTGTGTCCTCGGAGACACCTTCTTGTCCAGACCAACATGACCCATGGATCTGACAGGGGAATACACTCTTTACTTACGCACACCAACTGTATATAATAATCCGCTGTCCGTCATTGGCAATCATTTAATCGGCCCGCCGGGCTTCAACGGTCGAAGTTAATTATTGTTGTCCACCCACAATCAGCATCATTTTGATTAAGGAACCTCCCCGCTGTTTCACCATAGAACACGGTCAGCATTCTCAGAAATAATAATGTGTCGCTTTAATGGTTCACGGGACACAATTTCTTCAATTATTACCTCTGTACTTGTAAAATAAAATATCTGTAGATCTATCATCGAGTAGTTCATTGTATCTTGGGCTATCACGTGAACGCGCGCGTCGACGCGACCTATCACTGTTGGACAGTAACAATTGACGACACCAACAATAATAATGACCAAGAAACGAAAGAGACCCAACAGGCATCCTCCAGTCGCCAACAAGCCTCCTTCTCCCAATCCTCGTACTACCACTAATAATAATCCCACCCATCCTGTCATCTCCCTCTACTACCCCCATGTCCTCACCCTGAGGCAATATCTCTTACGCCAACTCCCCGTTTCCTCCAAACTACGTCGTCGTCGAATTGTCTCGTTGAGTGTGGCCACCGCTGCAAAAGATGAAGATCATCGGTGGTCAGCGCACGTCCCAGATCTCGTTTATTTGCTGGACACCACGCTGGTCGGGGTGCTCCACGAATCGCCTCCAACAATTAACCAGGAACGACGACGGGATTTGGCTGCTTTTACGGAGTCGCAAACACAGCCTGTTTCGCAGTTCAGGAGTACATCTGCGCAGTCTGAGGTATGCATACTCGCTCTGGAACTGTAGTGATAGTAACTGACTAGCTAGATTGTCGAATATGTCATTGCAACACTGTTCAATCGCAATGGCTACCAGCGGCCCCAGCACCTTCTCGTTCATGGCTTTCAGCGATTCATGGGCCCCCGGGCAAATGAACCTCAAACCATGACCAATATCCCTGGAATTATGGTCCAGTATCCGAATGAGAATGTCCAAACCCTGCAGCAGGCTCCCTGGACAGATGTCCTCGAGCTCCTGGGAAGCAATGGCGAGGAGATTATGCTCAAGTTGTTGCTCGACTGTGGTATCTTTCCTTGTATAGACCACCGAAAAGGCATCTTTTATCAACTTAGTGGTAGGCTCTTCCTGTTACTCTTTTTGTGTGATCACAATTGCTTATTTGGTAGGGTTACCGTTGCCCATGCTGGAACCGCTGGACAAGACAGGTCCAGGGCCAGACCAGCCCCCAACTAAATTTACTCCTCCATCCCTCCAAGGTCTACAGTCAAGGCCAGGAAACAAGACCCAAAATACCCATAAAGAGGTACAGGTCAAACCAAATAGCATCATCTTCCTCCGTCGACGTGCACTCTACGCTCGTCCAAACCTTAATGCAAAAGGACAAGTTCGCTTTGGACTAAAACATGATCGTATGTACTTCCATAATGGCTCAGGACCAGACTAATCGGAGCAGATGCACTCAATCGCTTCTTTTCGGCCGATTTTCTGGTGCAGACCGTGCATCTAATGCAACATATCTTCCCTAGGCAATTTGTTCTAACTAATGTATTTACATCAACGGATACTCGAGAACAAGCCCAGTCATTCAATCACTCCTTTGACCATCAGTCTCTACAGAACAAATACCTTGGACAGAGCGAAGATGGGCAAGATGAGGTGCGAAAAATACCAAAAAGGCTTCGTGGGAAGCCAGTGGAGCTGGTACAACAGCTCCAGAAACGACACAAGCACTGCTCCTACGCAGAACTACTGAGATATTATTGCTCTTCTGAGGTGAGTTGATCGTCAAGAAAATAATAGCCTGATGTTGACTCTGTAGGCCACTGGACCGTGGAAACTCGGTCCTGCGAGCTCGCAGTCCGACTCCGACACCAGTCATGAGTCCATCTCCCAGCCGTTGGTCACCCAGGCACAATTACCGCAACCATCCTCCGAATCATCGGATAAATTACCACTGGAAGAAACGGGCTGTAAAGCGCCTGCGCTACCACGGCCAAGCGTCACTTTGACAGACTACGCAACGCCCGCCTCATCAGTATCGGCTTTTTGCCGCGCCGTTTTGCGAAAACTGATCCCTCCCCAATTCTTTGGGTCAGGCCAACATGGGCTCGTGAACCAGCGAGCCATCTTCACGCAGGTCGACCGGTTTATTCGCATGCGCCGGTTTGAAAGCTTGAACCTTCACGAGGTCTGCCAGGGAATCAAAATCACCTTCATTCCCTGGCTGGAGCCTCCCAAGTTGACATCTGAATCGTTTCGATGCAAGCTATCCCAGTCCGATATGCAGAAACGCACCGAGCTGCTGCACGAGTTTATCTACTATCTTTTCGATTCAATTCTAATCCCACTAATCCGGACTCACTTCTATGTCACTGAATCGCAAACCCATCGCAACCGTCTCTTTTTCTTCCGTCATGACGTTTGGCGTAGACTAACAGAAGAACCGCTGACTACACTCAAATCGAACGTATTCGAAGAAGTGAAACCTGAGATGGCGCAGAAGGTTCTGGGTCGACGATCCTTAGGATATAGCTTCCTACGGCTCCTCCCCAAGAGCACGGGTGTTCGTCCAATTATGAATTTACGACGACGCGCGTGGGTGAAATGCAATTGGCCAGGAAAGCAAGGCTCCTACTTGGGACCGAGTATCAACTCGACGGTCACGCCTATTCACAACATGCTCAATTATGAAAAAGCACGGGGTCCTGGTGCGTTGGGCTCAGCTTTACTCTCTGTGGGAGACCTCCATCCCAAACTGAGAAGCTTCAAAGACCATCTCCTAAAGCAGCATGGGGGATCCCCGCCGACCTTGTATTTTGTGAAAGTAGATATCCAATCCTGCTTCGACACTATCCCCCAGCAGAAGTTAATCCGTCTCATCGAGGAGCTGGTCTCCGAGGAGGCATATCATATCACCAAGCACGTGGAACTTCGACCGTCCGATGAGTTCGGTGGTGTATGGCCTTCAGAAGAACCAACCCGCTCAAGCAAGCCACAGAGAAAGTATGTCGGTCGGGCCGCTCCAGCCTCCAAGCCGCAATCTGTACCGGATGCTTTCGCAGATGGGGTGACGAGTCGTCGACGAAACACGGTGTTTGTCGATACGTTAACACAGCGCGAGCATCACAGCGAGGATCTATTGGATCTGCTGGACGAGCATGTCCGAAATAACCTAATAAGAATTGGCAAGAAGTATTTTCGCCAGCGGAACGGAATCCCCCAGGGGTCCATGCTTTCAAGTCTTCTGTGCAATTACTTCTACGCAGAGCTGGAGCGGGAGGTGCTGAGCTTCCTCCACCCAGACCAAGCCCTGCTCCTCCGTTTGGTAGACGACTTTTTGCTTGTCACGTCCGATGTCGACATGGCGATGCGTTTCTTACATGTCCTGGTACGGGGTCAGCCTGCATACGGAGTCTCAGTGCATCCAGCCAAAAGCCTTGTGAATTTCGCGGCGGCCGTGGACGGGATTCATATTCCCCGGCTCGTGGGATCTACACGCTTCCCGTACTGCGGCAACTTAATCGATACGCATACGCTGGAGATTTACCGTGACC